CCACATGATGCAGAGGCAAAAGGTGTGGAGTGAAGTTAACCAAGCTGTTTTAGATTATGAAAATCGTGAGTCAACACGCAAGCTGGCAAAATTACTGAAACTACTACTTTGGGCTCAGAATGAGCTGGGCCAGAAGAAAGTAAAATGTCCCTGAATGACAGACCTCAGCAAGGGTGTGACTGAGGAGCCCAAGTAGAGCTGGTGCAGGCAGACCCTGGCACTGTCGTGATGGCACAGGACTCACCTCCCCTCAGACTGTGACTGAAAGATTTTCACTGTAGTAGAGAACCCTTCACCCCCTTGTACTTTTTTGTTTTTGGTACTGAGGATCGAACTAGGGACCTTGAGCTGGTGGTGGAACCACTGAGCTAAATCCCCAGCCCCTGTACTTTTTTTTTGACCTGGAATCTTTTTTTTAAGGGAATGTGTCCCTTTTAAATGCTGGCAACCCCGTGTGAAAGACACTTCAGAAGTCTGAGCGGTCTATGCACTATGGTACATCCTAAGGATTTCGACATGTTGCTGGTTACTGTCCCAGTGCTCCTGGTGTTTCTGACTCCTGCGGGTTTACCTTGTCATTGAGTGCTGCATTATTAGGGAGTACCCGCTAACGTAAGGCCTCCCATTCAGAGCACATGAAGAGCACTGATCGTTCTTTTGCTTTCTGTAGCTCGCAGGCAGACAGCATGTTTTCTTAATTTTCCTAAGTCCTGTCAGGCCTTTATTTTCAGTTTTTCCTTAACCCTTGTTTTTCATTTATTTTTCATAGGAAAGACTATATAAATTTGTAAATCCTAATTCAAAGATGACTTTTGTGTGAGGGTATTGAGTTTGACTTGTTTTTTCCCTTTTGGTCCGAGCTGTGTGGCTTCTGGAGAGATGTGTGTTTGAGAGGTGGGGCTGTGTGTTTTTAAATTTTGTGTGTGTGTGTGTGTGGTACTGGGGATTGAACTCAGGACCTTGAGCTTACAAGGCAGGCTTGGCACCACTGAGCCTTTTTAATTTTTTAAATGTATATTTTGGTGCTGTATGTGAAGAGAGTCTTGTTTATAGTAGATCAATGAACCATCTCTTGTAGGCATATTCGTTGAAAATAAAAGTTGCTCTTTGATTTCAAGAATGACCAAAAAACAAAAACAAAAACAAAAACAAACGAAGTAGGAGATGGGTGGAGTGTACATGCTACCACTAACTACTCAGGAGGCTGAGGTGGGTGGATTGAAAGTTTGAGGCCAGCATGGACAACTTAGCAAGACTTCCAGCTCAAAACAGCAATAGCAAACTAACAAGCCAGGGAGAACCTCCTAATGTGATGATTCCTTTTGAAGCTCATGTACTGAAAAAAGATTCCACCTGAAGGGCCCAGGGATTTAGCTCAGTGGTTCTGCCGCCAGACTTGAAAGCACAAGGTCCCAAGTTTGATCCTTGGTACCCCCTCAAAAAAAGATTCCACTTGAGCAAGTAGCCAAGACACCCAAATCACATCTATAAATACTCATAAATGATGCAGGTTTGATTGTTTATGCACAGAGAAGGTGGCATCGAAAAGAACCAGATATCTTGCACTTGATTTCTTAGAAGCTGATTGATATAGCCATAGCACCACCAGCAACCACCTACTCACCATCAAAGAGATAAAAGGAAAAGATTCATTTCCCGTGAGTAGTCTGTTTTTAGCTCAAATGTCACTTCCAGGAAGCCTTCTCTGCCCAGAGAATCTGATTAATGGTCCCATCCTATCTGCTGTTGCAGCCCTGTGTGGCACTGCCCTGTGGTTTAATTACTTATCTCTGTCTCCCACTAGTCTGTGGGCACTTCTTGGGGAGGTACCAGCTGCCTCTGTAGTCATAGCCACTCAGAAATATTTGTGGGATAATGAAAATATTTGCAAAGAGACACCAGCTTTGTTGGAAACATATTATAGAATGGTGATGTTATAGGCAGGACTTCTTGGCTACAATCCCACTGGCAGGATGAAATAAAAGTTCAGAGAAGGCAAAAAGAGAAACTACAGAAGTAGACAAGAAAAAAAAAAGAGTGCTAGATTAGGCAAATAATCTTGGGAAAGCATGCAAACGAATTCAGTGGAACTCGGTAGGGTCTGGATTGACTGTTAAATAAACAGCCATCACAGAAGTAGTTGGAAAAGTCAAGATTGTGTACTCTGCAGAATTATGATGAATCATTAATTGTCAGCCATACTCGGATGACACATATTTCTTGGGATTCCAATTTCTTAGGGAAACTATATGAAATTTACACCTTCCTTAGCAACAATGTGAATGGTTTGACACAGTGTAACTGTAACACCAAATTTCTTAGAAAACTGCCAGTTGGAGTAAGGCAAAGTACCTCACAAAGGTTCCCAAAGCAAGGCAGTTGTGTTGTTTACATTTGCTTTTTTGTTTTCTGTGAGTTTTGCCACTAACCAGAGTCGGGGGTGGGGGTGGGGGATTTTTGCTGTCTTTCTGAATACGGGAATTGAGTTTGTACCTGAAGCTTGTCTCCCTACCTTTCTTCTCCTCTGACATATCCCTCTCTTTAGAGCATGTCTGTGACTGCTTTCATTTCCTTCCTCCAACAAGAGAGAAAAATAATGGAGAAAGTAGAGGAGACTGCGTTTTAAAATTATTCACTCACTCAACAAAGAGTGTGGTTGCTCAAGCTAAGAGCAGAGAGAGTGCTGGAGTTCTGTAGGAGTCTAGAATTCTGGATTTGAGTTCTGATGTGGTCATTCACTAGTTGTCTAAATTACTATTTTTATCTTCCAAGTGACTTAATATCTCAGTTTCTTCCTCTATGAAACGGAGAATAGCTACTTGTGCTGGTTGGCCTTTTGGGCAATCCTGTGGAAATGGCTTGAGAGTCTCTCTGTCTGTCTCTCTCTCTCATCAAATGGCAATATTTTCCTCATCTCCAAGAAGCAGTTTGTCTGTCACTAAGAGCACTGTATAGCAAGGCCTGGGCTCTCTATTTCCAGGAGCTTTTTTAGATATAACATGTCCAACAATGTATCAAAAAGTGTATCCTGGGGCCTGGGAGGTAGCTCAGTGGCACCCTGAAGGCTGACAGCCCCGGAAGTGAAAGGTCCTGAGTTCTATTCCTGGTACCGAAAAAAAGTGTATCCTGGAATGGCCTCAGTCTTTCGAGGCAGGTGGCTGAACCACTGAGCTAACTCCCCAGCAAAGTTTCAGAAGCACTGTCCCATTGAAGCCATCCTGCCAACATCCTGTGCCTCATTCTTTTTTTTTTTTTCTTTTGTTTGATTTTGGTACCAGGGATCGAACTCGGGTCCTTGTGCTTTCGCAGCAGGGGCAGAAACCACTGAGCTAAATCCCTGGCCCTAGCTTCAGGCTTTACTGCTTATATCTGTCATGAAATCTGTGGCCAGCTTGCTCCCTGGCAATGTCTTTGGCAGGAAACCTGCTTCCACATCCCCCAAAGTAGATAGTAGAGTTGTCCCTGGGTATTGTAGTCGCCTCAGCAAGTTATGTCCACAGAGCTGGACAGTAAAGAAACTTTTCTGTCTGATCTCTCTAAGTCAGTAGGAGACCAAGGAAAGAGGGTGTCATGTGTCTCTTCCTGCACTTTTCTGTTTAACACCCATGGAGAGAAACCTGACCTCAGGAGAGCTGAATAACCTATACATGCCATAGCTGATTAATTGTAATCTGGAGACAACAATAAAATCATATAGGAAGTTTTTTTGGGGGAAAAAAACCCCTCATTCTGATTGATGATGTTGGTGTTTTCAATCTTTGAATTACAGCTTTTAGAGAAGGATCTATTTTATTACCTCGGGACTTTGGCAGGAACAAGGCTGTCTCTTTAATCTTTGGTCTTTTGATTCCCTGTAAATATTACCTTAGAGTGTTGTAAAAATTTCTTTGTACCAGTGAAGAGATCAGTGAAATTGGAACCCAGGTCTGCCACTTAGCAGCTGTGTGACCTTGGGTAAGCTCTTTAACCTCTCTGAGTTCCAGTTTCCTCATATACAAAACGGATTGGAATACGACGTGATGCAATGAAGATCTTACCACTCCGCTTGGTATATGGCAAGTAAATAGGCAAGGATACTAAGAGAAGTAGGGGCAGCCCACCCCTATAGATATACCACGGCATAGTGGAGAAATCAGGGACATAGGCACACAAACAATGTGCACTTAAATCCTCTTACATTTGTTCTTCCTAGTGGCTTATTAAGACATTGTCCCTGCGTTCAGTTCGCCTCTTCGCTAGGTTGGGGACAACGACCATTGCTGGGAATGGTCGGCGAGATGCCTGGGATCACAGGACTTGGGAGGTGATTACTACTGGGTTAGACCTGGACTTGTCACTGGGACAGCAACCGGCGCCGTGGAAAGAGGCCGAGGCTGAGGCAGCCCATGGTGATCGGGCCGCGCGCCGAAGCGGAGGCCGGGCTCACCCGGGTCTTTGTTGGCAGCCGGGGCAGATTAAAGCCAGAAGTGGCAGCAGGGACAGCCCAGGCCTGGAGCCCGCAGCGTCACTCCAGACCTCGCTGTGACATTAAATGTGGGGGGTGGGGGTGGGAAGGGCTCACGAGAGTTATATAGGCTGCGCTACAGCGCCTCCTAAGTGACAGGCGCGCAGTCAACTGGTGAAGGTGGTGAGGCACGCGGGGCGGGAGGTGCAGCCGATGGCGGCCAATGGCTGCTGGGGTCGCAGGCGGGGCCGGGATGGGGCGGGGCCTCGGCGGGGAGGGCGGGGCAGTCGACGGCGGCAGAGGCCGAGGCCACAGCAGCGCTGCCCGCGGCCGTGGCAGGAGCTCGGCGTCTGCTGCAGGTGAGGGGCCTGGAGCAGCAGTGGCGCGCGGCGGCTTGGGGTGGGGGAGTGCAAGGCGGCTGCGCGGAGGGGCGCCTGGCGGAGGGGCGGCGCCGACGGCGGGGTGCTGGGGCGCAGGATTACGGGAGTCCACCTGCTGGTGACGGAGCTGCTGCGCTGCGCCGGGCCGGGCTGGAGCGCGCACGCCGAGCGCTGTTCCCTCGGGCGCGCGGGGCCGCGGGGCGCGGGCTGGACCGGGGCCGGGCCGCCCTCCTGCTCCCCCCACCGCAGCCCCAGCTTTCCCGGTGCAGTCGCGGCGCTCGCAGACTTTCCCGCAAAGTGGAGTGAAGTGTGCATCTCCAGGGCTGCGGAGCCGAGGGGCTCGCGGTGCCCGCAGCGCAGGTGGGACGGGGGCGAGGCAGGCTGCTTTCGGCCTGGGGCTCGGGTTGTGCAGCCAAGGCTGCGACTGTCCCTACGGAGTGGAGACTCCCCGGGCCTCAGTTTCCCCCATCCGGAGGAAGCTATGCGTGGGACCCTAGGTTGAGTCCACTGGGCGATGCCGCTAGATGTGCCCAGTGACATCCGGAAGGCATGCGTTCCAAAGCTGGCAGCTGAGCCACTCACACGCCTGGTTGCTTTTATTTCTCGCAGCCTTGTTTCTGGGGAGCCCATTCATTGCTTGCTTCCCCAGTTGCCAAATCCGAGTAGGCTCAGGGTGTGTTCTTGATCCTTTCCTTATATTTTGCTGTCGTGCTTTGGCTGTCGGATGAGTCTTTGGGTAGAAGATAAAGAATAGGAAAGTCCTTGGTTTGAAGGTAGACTCTAAATTTAGAATCAAAGGATATGCCTTTGTATGGTGGATGTTTCTTTTACTGAATGTCTAAAAAATAGTTTTACTGGCAGGTTAGGCTGAATAGGTTTCTTTAACTCACAAGTGTAAATCCAAAAAAGGCACTGGACGATGAAATTATGTAAACTGTATTGAAGAGAAACTACTGTATAAGCGGGAAGTATGAATTTTAACATAATTGCGTGCAGAGCTATATAGTCCTACGTCATGCTTTTCATGGTTTGTGGATATCATGGATCGAGCCTTGTATTCTTCGGGCATCCCTGTTTGTCAGTGGGGTACTGATTAAGGAGTATGCCAACTGCTCAGCAAAGTTTTTCAGAGCCATGGAGCACACTATTTCAGAGAACACTGTAAGTGAAGGTTTTTGTACCCAATAAGGAAAAATAAGAATGTTACGATATACGATTGTTAGGTATGTTAACAAAACAGATTGTTCATTCTGAGCTCTTGAGTTGAATATTCCATTCATCTTTATGAGTATGGAGAAATGACTATAATTGTAACTTATCCTTTTTGTTGTTTGAAGATGCAAATATGCTAAGTGATAAATCTCAGCTCCAAGGAGCTAGATTAGAGTGTTTGCAGTTGTGTACATTGATAAAAATGTGGCTTGGCTGCGTCCAACAAGCTAGCCTGTCTGCTGCCTCTCCTGATTGAACAGCACGTAGCTCCCTAGTTTTGCTCTTGTCTGGAGATTTTATTCACTTGTGATGCGCAGTTAAGCTTCAGTAGTTTAGAAACCCTAATTAAAAATGTGTGACTACATTCTCACCGAGTAAAATGCTCTGCTATTTTTCTTGTGAAAGTTTAGGTTTTATTAACAGAATTCATTGTAAATATTGTCTTCGAACCAGAGTTTGCTAACTTCCGGGATTAGTTTTTAATATTTCTTATGCTTTTCATGTATTATGGGTAGTATATCATAGTCTAATTCAATTTTAGAGTTTGTTTTACTTTATGCATTTATACTGAAGTTATACTGCCTTTTTTGGTATTTTATAAAATTGTTTTAAAATATCCTTTATGATTCTGTGCTTATTTCCTCATTATTAATTGAATGTTTAATGAGGCAAATTAAAAAATTAAAAATAAGACAAATTAAGTAAAATATGGCTAAGTACATAGCAACTGAAGGTCATAAGCATTTTTATTTTATGTCACATTGGGATTACAATTCTAAATTATATAATTCACTAAGTTATTGCTTCCTTTTTCAATTTTTTCATGGTGCTGGAGATTGAACCTGGGACCTTTGTTCTAAGCTACTGCCTCAGCCCTTTTTAGAATTTGTTTTGATAAGGTCTTGCTATGTTACCCAGGCTGTGCTTGAACTTAGATATTTTCCTGCCTCAGCCTTCCAGAGTGCTGGGATTACAGGCTGTCTTTTATAATTAAGATGAGGGGCACTTATTAATTTAAGGCAATGTATTAGATACTAAACAGAATTTTAAATTATAGCATTTTCTTTTTTTGCCATGAAGTTTTTATTTTGGGTGGTGCTGGGGATTCCTCAGGGAGTGCTTGCTATGCTACATCTCCAGCCTTTTTAATTTTAATTAATTTATTACTTTTTAATTTTCAAGACAAGAACTTGGGATTCTCCTGCCTCAGCTTTTTGAGTAGCTGGGATTATAAGCATGTACTGTCATACCTGGCTAACATTTTAATTCTAAAACTGCAAAAATGTGCATGTTTAATAATAAGTTATCTTAACGAAGGAAGGTGAATAAATTTGGTCTTAGCAATGCTAACTTTAAGTGAGAATGTCTTTGGCCCTCCTTGTGCTCAGGTAATAAGAGGGAGCAGTGTACTAGGAGTTCAGAGTTCCTAAAATGGAAATTAGAGATGCTAGCCAAAGTGGGTAACAGGCACCCTTTGTTGGGGGTTCAGGGGTGAGGTGGAGGATTAGCCAAAGGCTGCTGGAAGTGAGAAATTTATTGACAGTTGTATGTTTAGACTTTAAAAATTCCTGTGAATTTTGCACCTTATACCTCACTAGGCCCATCTGTTGTACCTTAACAGACACATTCAGCAGGTGGCCGAATTTAAGGGGCAAAAGGTAGTGGCTAAGTGCTTGAACCGTGGAGTCATATGAATTAGTTTTCTCTCTGGGTGAATTTCCTTGTGTGTCAAATGATATTAATAATGCTAGCTTCATAGGACTTTGTGAAGGTTTAAACCACATAATGGACTCAGCATAGGGGGAGTACTTAGTGAGTTTCAGTGGCTGTCATTGTCTTTTTTTATTACTATGCCCTCGTGATCTTTTGTTACCAGTGGGGATTTCTTCTCCTGTTCAGTGGTAAGAAGTAACTAAAGTGGTAGTTTCTGAGTCGCCTTCAGAGGGCTGCTTTCATCAGCTAGCTCTTCACTGAGACAATTGTCCCTCAGGTTTGTTAGCAGTTTGGGAAGTCCATTAACTCATCCCACTAGAGTGTCATTACTATATTGCCTTGTGGTCCCGTTGAGGCCACCAGGAATCAATGCACATTTCTAATTGCTGGACCTGGCTCTAGGTAATGAGACCAGTTATGCATGGAGTGGATTGAACCATTGGCCTGCTGCCTTTGTTTTATTTTAGTTTTTAATACAGTTAATATTTATTGAGACCTAGTGTGTGTTGGGTGTTATGCTAAGTACCTTGGATGGCCTCATTTCTTTCCATTTTCCAAGCAGTTTTGTTAGCTGGATGTTGATCTCCTAGATTTAATTTAGAGAGTTAATGCCTAGTGCTGGGCCCTGGCTGATAAGAGGATGGACTGGATTGCTTCTTTTGTGGTGCTGGGATTGAACCCAGGGCCTTTGCACTGAGCTACATCCCCAGCCTTTTTTATATTTTTAGACAGGGTTTCATTAATGTGCTCGGGCTGGACTGGAACTCATGATCCTCTTGTTTCAACCTCCCAGAGAGCTGAAATTATAAGCATTCACCACCACACGAGGCAGGTTCATTTTCTAATTGTATAAATGTTTCTACTTTACACCCTGGGAATGGGTTAATCACTGAGAAGACTGAGCTTATTTTATGATGATAAATAGCAATAATAATGCTAACCTTCTTACCATTTATGATCATATATGAAAGAGGAGATAGGACAGGTGATTTCTCATTTTATAAAAAAGCTTTGACATCAAGATAAGGGACACCCCAAGAATCACACAACTGTCAGAGCTGGATCTAGGACCCAGGTCTTTTTACCCTTATTTACTCCATTAACTTTCTTTCCTTTTTTTTTTTTTTTTGGTTTTTTAAAATGTTGCTTGTTACTGTGCAGTAGGAATGCTGGGGGGCCGGGGAGTGTTTCTTAGGAAACATTGTGTGATTATTAGAGTTATCATCTTGGAATCTGTGAGCCCTACAGTTTCTCTCTTTAAATGAATAACACTTCTCTTTCTACAGACAGAACCAGAAAGGAGGAAATGAAGTTTGAAGCTTTTATTTCTTGCAGAGAAGGACCATATAATCCTAGTATATTTAAAGTAATTTAGATGTAGGGATGGTCATCATAGATACAGTTTAGTCCTGCCAAAAGTCTCTTTATAATGGTGAATAATAAATGAAGAAATCTATGCTTTGCATTATTGAGCAAGTTTTTCTTTCTCTGCCCTCCTCCCTTAGGAGGAAAAGAGCCGGAGACATCGCATTTGAAGCCTGCAAAGACAATCCTGAGTGGTAATTGTGAATGGTATTACTGTAGACGCCGCCTGCGAGCATCTGAAATGAACCTCTCACATTGATTGTTTTTATTGGTTGGGAGCCAGGAGGATTGGATTCCGTTGACTTCCAGCTAAAGAGAAAATAGTCCTGGTCGTCATCACAAACCTCTGCACCAGTGTGACGATGAAATGAGATGAGGCTCCGCAATGGAACTGTGGCCACTGCTTTAGCATTTATCACTTCCTTCCTTACTCTGTCCTGGTACACTACGTGGCAAAATGGGAAAGGTGAGGAAAATGTCTCTGGCGATGTGCATGAAATGCAGTGGGCTTTTTGCTTGGCAAATAGTGCATAAATGCTTAGGTTAAATATCTTAGCAACCTACCTGTTGCATTCTCTCTGCTGGCAATTTCTTTTGACACAAAAACAAAATGATATTCTTGGACAGAGGAGACAGAATTTCTAATTCCAGTGGGGTTTATTTTGTTTTCAATTTCTTACAGTTGCACTGGGAGAAATAGATACTGATCAGTGGTTTATATTATACATGACAGCCAAGTTGAATAACAAAGACTTTTCTTTGGCATTTTTAAACTAATCATCATATCATAAATGTTTAATAAGCTTTCTTGTACTGGGTGTTGTATAACACTTAGAAGGACATAATCAGTGCCTTCATGAAATTTACATGCCAATTATGCTAATGTGTGGTGGTATGTAGTTAATGATTTAAACTACATGCCTTGACTGATTTCTCCATAGGCCAAAGTACTTTAGAAAGGGGCAAGGAGAAATTCTGGTTGGAATAATTTTTTTAAAACTGTGTTTAGATTATTGAACTGTGTTTTGACAGAGTCATCTTTTATTGATTGGAATTATATTCAGGGCAATACATTTCTTTATCTTTTTTTTGGAAGAGAAAATATATGGAATAAATTCATTTTACCTCTTTTCCTTATCTTAACCTGACAAATGATAGGAAGAGAGGAGGAAGGAAGGAGGTGAACATATTTATTTTGATTAACTCAAGTTAGAGTTATCACGTGGGCTGTTTGAAGAAGCCATCACTGACCTCACTGTATTGAGTCATATGAAGACAACTGAAACGATTGTTCAGACCCAATTTTGTTTCTGATGTGTTTATTAGGTAACATATCTCTGGGTGTGCATGTATATTTTATACATATATATTTTCTACACATGTGCACCTCTTTGTACAAAATGAACAAATATAAAGCTGGGCATGGTGGTACATGCCTGTAATCCCAGCACTCTGGGAGGCTGAGGCAGGAGGATTCAAAATTCAAGCCTAGGCTGGGTATTAGCAAGACCCTGTCTCAAAAAATTAAAAGAGGGGCTGGAGATGTAGCTCAGTGTGGCTGCCCTGGATTCACTTATCAATAAAATAAGCAAATGTAAATGAAAACCATATGCTCAGTAGTTGAAGCAAGTGTAATACTCTTTTTGTACTCTCTTTGAGTTGGGCTTTAATCCTGAGGTAAAAAAACAAGTAAAAGTTTTGCCAAAGGCAAATTTTTTGTGTAGAAATATATACCTTTTAGATTTTAGTTTCTTATTGTACCAAGTAAGACTTAATCAGGAAGAATCTTGAATACTTAGTTTAATGAAACTGTTGATCATCCCTGACATAAACTAAACAAACAGCTACTGTTAAAAATCTGCTTCTGAGATACCGTAAGGGAAGTATGTGGGTTTTTTCTTATCAGGAAGCAGTATTGGAGTTGTGGAGAAACTTGATCCTTCTGTGTCTTAGAAGATTTAAGGTTTTGGAGACTTCATGCCATTCAGTTGGGGCATTAGAAGTATTATTATTTTTCTTCTTCAGCTGACTATAGCTTCAGGGGTAATTCACAGGAGGTAGAGAATGTCTGACCGTGCAGTGCTCAACACACACACAGCTAGTCCTCTGATCTTCACCCTCTGGCCAGCTCTGCTGTCTTCTGTGCACCTCTTCTCTCTGCTATTTCCCTGCTCATTGGTTCTTCCCTATGCTCTCAGGTATCAGCAGCACCAGCCTCTTGTAAATCCCGTTTGGAATTGCTCTCGTTTATGTAACCACTCTTAACTGTCGAGCATTTGGATTCTTTCTAGATAGTTCAGTCTAGATTTTGCAGGGCAGACTGATTTGAGATGTTCGATTCTAGTATAACCATAAACCATGTACTCTAGTTTTTGTTTGAAAACAATGGTTAAATGCATAACCTTTGACATTGGTAGACTAATACTGCCCTCCCACCCTCCTGCCCTGTATTGGGGATTGAACTCAGGGTGTTTGTGCCGAGCTACACCTCCACCCCTTTTATCTTTTATTTGAAGACAGGATCTTGCACAGTCACTAAATTTCCCAGACTGGGCTCAAACTTCCAGTCTTCCTGCCCCAGTTTTTCAGAGTGCTGGGAATACAGGTGTGTGCCACCCTTGGCTTGGACTAATAGTTTTTATTATTCATTCACTGGTCCCTTACATGTACCCATCATGTGTCCAGCAATGTATTATATGCTACTGATATGAAAAAAAATAAACTTCTTGCTTTTGAGCAGGGACTGTCAGGATAAGCTACATGTAAATGAACACGACGCCATCAGCTAGAATGAGAGGCGATCACAGAGTGCTTGTCCTTTTCTAAGCATGTTGTGTGTATTACTTCATTTAATCCTTGTAACAACTCCAGGAAATAGTACCTCCTTCCTGCAGATAGATACGTCATGAGCTGCCAGGGAAACGGGTTTAGGGCAGGGGCCAGTTTCAGCAGGGCATTCAGGATTCCCAAGTTAAAATGAGGCAGAATTTTAGTTATGTGGAATGGCAGGTTGTGAAAGTTGTAGGCGGTGTTGTGAGAGCGAGACAGGAATAAGCACAACTCTCACCAGTGAGAGTTGGGCTGCTCCTTGGGTCAGGTGCAATCTGGAGCCCGGCAGAACCGGTTCAGCACCATAGAGCCCTGTGCCTGACCCAGCGCTTGGTGCTTCATACACATCTAATAATCATTTGGTGTATGAATGATTCCTTGAGCAGCAAAAATATTTAAAAATGTTTAAACTTGCTGTACTGAGCTGTGATGTACTATACAATTCAGCCATTTACAGTGTGCAACTCAGTGTGTGTTGGTGTCTTCACAGGTGTGTGCATCCATCACCAGTCAGTGTCACAGCATTTTCTTCACTTCAGGAGAGGATCCTGTGCCCTTTAGCTGTTAGCGCCCTGCTTCTCACATGCCTCTGCCCTCCCTGTGGCAATTTGCTATTAATCTGTGCTCCATCATTGTAGGTTTCCCTGTTCCGGGCTTCCATTTAAGTGCAGTTGCAAAGTGTGGTCTTCGAGGCCCCTTTCACTCAGTGGCATGTGTCAGTACTTCACTTCTTTTCAGAGCTGAATAATTTCCCCTTACACGAGCGCACCACATTTGTCAGTCCGTTCATCCACTGGTCACTTGAGTTGTTTCTCCCTTTTGGCCCTATGAATGGGGCTGCTGTAAACATCCACGGACATGCTTCTGTGTGGACGTATGTTTGGATTTCTCTTGGGTATTTACTGAAGGGTGGCATTGCCAGGTCATATGGAAACTCTGTGTAATCGAGGGACAGCCAGACTTTTCCAAAATGGCTGAACCATTTTACATTCTTTTACTTTAATATATTTATGTCTGAATTATGGTGTGTCTCCTGTGGACAATATATAATTGGACCATACTTTTAAAATTGAGTCTGATAATCTCTGCCTTTTGATTTGTCTGTTTATCCATTCATAATTAATGTTGTTATTGATATAGTTGGGTATATTCTGTTTTTTCTGTCTCGTGTCTTTTTTGTTTCTCTGTTCATCTTTTACTGCTTTGTTTTGTATTTATTGAATTCTAATGTAGCATTTTAATTTCATTAAAGATTTTCAGTTTTTTATTTTCTAAGTTTTAAGAATCAGCTTTAGATTTATAGTAGCTTCCTTCTAGTAATATAAATATTAACTCCTACATAGCTCTATCACTTTTCCCCTTGTGTTGTTGTATATATTTACATCTATTAATCTTACAAACCTTACAGTGTATTGTTATAATTACAATTTTATCATCTGTCATTATGCACCATTCTGATTTTACTATCTGTCATCATTTCTTTAGCTTGTTTTATTTCCACTTACCTCCTTTGTGCTGTTATTGGCAGTTATGCTACTTATATATTTCTATGTTATAAATCTTGCAGTGTATTTATATGCATAATTTTGTACACTTTTAAAATTAGTTAATGGAGAGAAAAGAAAAAAATGCACATTTGTAGTGACTTCTTATAGTTGCATAACTACCTGTGCTCTTTGTGTGGACTTGTGTATGTGTGTGGAGATGTACTGGAGATTGAACCCGGGGCCTGGGGGATTCTGAGTTACATCCTAAGTTGCAGGAACCAGCCTACAAGCTCGAACTTGACCCCAAGGGGTGACAAGGATGAAAAATAAAGAGACAGAAAGAAACAGGTTAAAATCTGGGGGGCTCCTGTCTCCCTTCCACATAGAGTCCCAAATGATTGGTGCACCTTGGCTTTATTCACTCAGACACGGGCACGAGCAGTTAGAGTTCCACAGGACTCATCTGTTTTCCACCCTCCAAGGTACTTCTCCAGGTAAACAACTTAACCTCAGGTGTTTTTACTTTTCCCTGCAGCATTTTAGCATGCTTGCATGCTCTCTTTCTTCTCAGTGCTCATTGAGGAGACAAATTAGGCCTCATTCTTCCCATCTGATCTCCCCACTGAACCCTTTTTAAATCTCGTTTTGAGAGGGTCTCACTAAGTTGCCCAGGCTGGCCTCAAATATGCTCTCTTCCTGCTTCAGCCTCCTGAATAGCAGGGATTACTGGTATGAACCACTCCACTTGGCCTGTGTGGCTTTGAGTTACCATCTGGGGTCACTTTTTTGAGCCTGAAGAACTCCCCGTGGTATTTCTTACATGGTCTGCTATCAGTGACTTCCTTCAGTTTTTGTCTATTTTGGAAAGTTTCTATTTCACCTTCCCTTTTGAAAGATAGCTTTCCTGGGCGTAGGATTCTTGGTTGACAGTGTTTTGAGTGCTTTGTGTTATTCCACTGCCTCCCAGCTTCTATCTCTATAGAGAAGCCAGCTGTTAATCTTACTTGGATTCCTTGTAGGTATATATCATTTTTCTCTTTTTTGCTTTTAGGATTTTCTTATGATTATCATTTTTATCATGATGTGTCTGTAGGTCTCTGTGTTTATCCTGCTTAGAGTTGTTGAGCTCTTTAGATGGGTAGGCAATTGT